ATGTGGTCATACAAAAAAACTTGTTTAACAAAATGATTTTAGAAAATTTGAGTGTTGTGCATCATTCCTACATATCTTTGTCCCTTCACAGCAGGATTCACTGAAAGGCAAACTAAACTGAATCCTAAATTGTTAGCAATAAAGAGCACAAAATTTGTCTTGATTTATTTAGACATTTTACTGCTGTTAGTATTGCATGAATTTTAATTTTATTGAGCAAATATGTAATATTTATTTACCCATGTTGTATTCTGTAGTATTAATGTTGAACTTTAAATGGTGCCTGTAAAGACAGTTTAGGGCCTTTCTTCTAGCCTTAATACACTGGTGAACAACAACAAAATATTCCAATCAGTCTCCAACAACTGTGTGCATGCATCTGTATTGATCAACCGCTCCATGGCTTTGATTAAGCAGACGAGTCATTAGCAGGGTTCAATTGGGTTCATTTGCCTTCAAAACACAGACTAGAAACCAAAAAATATAGACTTGCAGGGGGATCAAACATCTGTTCTTCTGAGGATATTTAGTTTGGAGATAACAGGTGCAGCTGAAGTGGGGAAATTGGGGGTGGGGATTAAAAGGAATATATTACTGAGGAAAACAACCTGAAGTACCACGAGAACCCCCAAACACCAGATAAACTAATGCCACAGAAACACTAACAGCAGAGCTGCATTGCATAGTTGATTTTATAGACTGTTATATAATATTTATAACTGATCACTCTTTTCTCAGATCTCTTCTAGCTGGCGAGAGGTGTCGAGGTCATCCTGTTTAGCAGTTGCTCAACAGTTTACGTCCAACTGAGGTTCCTATTTCATAGAGTCAGCACAGCAAAAGGTGGTGTCCATGCATGCAAGCGTGTGTTTTTACTTCTAAGCATTTCTTACAACTCAGTGACCTACCCACAACCCACCAACAGTTAGCAAACACAAATACACAGGGAATAAAGTGGAAACAGAGACGCGCTTAAAAGACATGTCACACATTCTATCAGGCGCCTGAAGGTCAACGGAAATGACATGCTGAGCAGTCAGTCAGCTGCCTGTCAATGTAGGTGTGAGTGTGAGCTCCGGAGAGAAGCGGAGCCACAGATAGCGTTTAATTGAAGGTTGAAGTTATCAGATAGCCTGCGACTCAGCTGCCAGTCAAGATGCAGTCATCACAGTGACGCTTCACGCTGCTCTGCACCACTGACGACATCGGGAAAATAGTTTGCAGAGCTGTGAGCGAGCAAGTTGGCAGACAGAGGAATGGAGACAACACATTTACAGATAGATGTGGGGCATGCCGGCAAGCAGACGCAGGCCAGAAGAGGGACAGACTTAGGGGAATTAGAGGAGAAGCACGCTGGCAAGGCAAGTTATTTTGGTAGAATTGACATACTGCACTGCATCCAGGCACCAGGACAATCTAATGACAATCTAATTATCTACTGGTGAAACAAGAGAAGGGGACACATAGGTAAGACAGAAAGCCCCATCGCACGACTGTGCCTTGGCATATGGATAAGGCGGGTATAGCTAAGTGGGAGTTGTGTTTTTAAATTGAAGTGGAAACTTGAGGGGAAACAAGTGGGTGGCAGGTGTCCCAAAAAGATGGGGGAACAGTATGAACGATGACAAATCTTCCATGGCAGGTGAACTGATGCCAAGCACACAAAACAGAGACTTGGACCATCATCCCTTGCTTTCTTGGGAGAACCAAGAATTGCGTCAGCGAGACACACGTGCGTGCGTGTGCGCTCTCTCTCTCACACACACACACACACACACACACACACACACACCCCGCCCACCCAAGTCAACAGGGGGAATCTGGGATCAGACGGAAATGTGAGATGGGGGAAAACACTCCCCAACCTAATAATCATCATTACAGTTTCCTCTCCTTTTAGCAGTGGACAGATGGGGATAGGAAATGGCATTTTTCTTTCCTTTTTCTGCATTTCTTCCTTATCTTCCTTCAAACTGATACTACATCTCCCCTTTTACCAGACTACTAAATAATTCCACTCTTTTTTCCCGAACATACTGACTTGATATAGAGATACTTTAGCTCACTCTTTGTTTAGACAACAATTCTCACACTACAGAGTTCCAAGAAAAGCTCAGTGCTACAAGGAAGTCAGCTGAACACACAGCAACACTTTACCTGCTATTGTCTACTGTTCAAATAATGAAATTTCAAATTAATTTCCACTCTGCCCACACCAATAGCTCGAAATTACGAAGGGCAGTGAGAGCAGCACTGACAAAGTATTGTAACAAGTAATGCAAAAAAGCCTATTACAAGTTACACTGGTACACTTGGAAAAAGGTCAATATAATGTCAAAATGTACACACTGTGGATGTAATGGATTTATATTGTTGTGCTCTATCTTAAAACACATGGACATCATGTTTTAGTGTAACCACTTTAACAGTTTTTGCACATAAACCCTGTTCCAAACGAACATTTTCTGAAAACAGGAAGGGAAAAAAATAATTCCATTTAGACCTACAGCTGATTTCCCCTGGTTCCAATCATCACATCTATAAATAACAAAGCTATCTGGCATTTTCCTCGTTTCCTGCAGACTAAATGACCATACTCTGTGGAAGGAGTGGACCAAAAGAGTGTGAAAAAATGTGTAGTGAAATACATGCCATTCACCATGTGTATTTGTCTCTACTCGCACGTCCTTGTGTGCATGTTAGAGTATGTATAAATTTGTGTCTACTAAGGTCATCAGTGAGTCATCTCGGCCACAAGGGGGAAGCCTAATTAATTTAGTAGCTTTCATGGCAGCTCCTAAACAAGCTCTGGGCAGAGCTGCATAGCACATTGAGCAAAGGGAACACAGGGGTCATCTGAGGATGCCACACTTTTAGTTCATGAGCATCTGTGTGTGAGAAAGTCATTCCATTAGTGTCTTTACAGCCACAGGTGGAAACCACTGCCCTGCACATTTTCACAGACCTACCTCACTTTTCTATTAAATGTATATAGTCATTTGCAGGGTTAGCACAAAACCCACCCACAAAACTGTAATTTTACAAGTAATGAAAAGCAAAAATAAAGGGTATCTATCGCACAGCAGAAATGGTAAGGGTTTTGGCCTTATATCTTTAAATATCATGTTCTACAGAGAATAGACCATTTCAGTAAGAAGAAAGTATCAGCCATGACATGCCCTTTAAAATAAAATAATTGGCTACATAGTCATTTTTGGACCAATTCAATTCTGACTAGACAACTACTTATCCAACTGATATGACTAGACATATAAGTAAATGTATCCATTTATAATGTAACAAACATGGTTGCACATGTTAAACTTAACTTTGCTATGAAATACCGTACCAATCATGATTTTTGGTAGAAATATCAAGAATAAGAATAATTAAAGCAAAAAATAAAGCAATTGGCACACAAAAGCAGCATCAAGTGCAAATACGTAACGATATGGACGACTGAGACAAAAGACAACGATATGAACGATCAACACTGTTCCTGTAAAGCTGGGTAGGTCTCTATTCATTAAAAAGCAGAACAGTAGGACTTTAACGTTACATTCAGTAGGAAGTTAGCTAGCGTTAGCTAACTAACATTACATTAGGAACAATCCACGGCCGACATTTCTGGTTTTATTTTAGCTTTTGAAAAATACTGCCAAAAAAAAAAAAATCTAGAAAATGACTCTTTTTGCATTAGAGTTAATGGAGCGCATCCATGAAAGTGTCAGAACTCAGTTAGAGTGAGACCTATACTGCGCTGTGATTGGCCAGCTGTGTATTCGGGGTGTGGCTTAGCAAAGGGTCAATTAGGGGACAGTGCACGGACGTGAAGTCCTGGCGCTAGAAATGAAAGGTGAAAGACTGGGTTGTGGTTGGTTGATTTAGCTTGAGCTCAGAAGCTGGGTCTGGACTGAGGGTCAGCTGGAGCTAAGCTGATCCAAGCCGGTCCCTGGTGCCCTTTATCAATTCTGTCAGGGGGAAAATGCAATCCACGCCTGGCTGGGCCTTGCCCTGCTCTACAGTGTCTCTTATCCTTTGTCACCTTCCTCCATTCATTTCCTCACTGCAAGCTACTGGGATTACGAAGAGAAACGTTGCTCCTCAAGACGTGACAACCATTCATGTGCGTGCCAAAGATTACCATGAGGACAGGAAGGTGGCTGACTGTGGCCAAAACTTCTTCGCTGTTGCCACCATCCTCATGTCTACAACCAGCCTGATAGCTCCATCGTGAACCATTCTTTCCTAAATGTGTGTGTGTGCACGTAAATGCGTATGTTTCCATGTGAGGAAAGCTTTCTACGCCACTGCTATAACCGAGGCAAGTGGTACGTCGAAAAGATTTCAATCTCCTTCAACTGAACATTTATGGAATTGCAATTTACTTTTCACGATAATCCTCCTCTCACCCTCAGCACTAATCTACCGCTGAGCTGGCTCATAAACACCCTAGCATGTTATGTTTTCCTGAGACCAGGACCAATTTAGACTGCCACCTGATGAAGCCTTAACTATAGTCCATTAACAACTTGGCAGACATTTTCTAAGTCCAGCAACTATCATTAACCAAACTAACAAAAAGTCAAGGGTTGTGTGTTTACCAACTATAAATGAAAAGGAACACTCAAATTGAAGGAGGAAAAGCAAACATATTCCCGTAGTAGACATACTATATGATCAATTTTATGTACCTCAATTAAATTCTGTACTGTAGTTTTCTCAAGTCAAGTGCACAAACATTATTGGCATTGTGACACAGATGCTGTAGTGTGAGCTGTGTACATTTACATTTACTCATTTAGCTGACGCTTTTATCCAAAGCGACTTACAATTGCTATGCATGTCGGAGGTCGCACGCCTCTGGAGCAACTAGGGGTTAAGTGTCTTGCTCAGGGACGCAATGGTGGATGTCTCACAGTGGGAATCGAACCCAGGTCTCCCACACCAAAGGCAAGCATCTTATCTATGCCCCACCCCTGTGTAAACTGGGTACTTACGTCAGGGTACTCTTTGACAGGCACAAACAGTTTTTCCTGCAGGTGGACAATGGGTCCCATAGGCTCAGGCAGCTCCAGAGGGTGTCTCTCCACAAGGCCATTCACTGTGTCGCTGTACATGTCTTTACGCACTCTGTTGATCTCTGAAACACACAAACATGTGCACTGTGGTAAGCAACCAAATAAACAACAGTACAAGTTTTACGGTTTTATTTGGAATTTGATACATCACTGTCATATTGATTTTGACTTCTGGGCAAAGGCTTAATGTAGCATATAAATCTTTGTTGTAAAAAAGAAAAGAAGGAAAACAACTGAAATTTGTCAGTTGCCTTGAGCGTGTTTGTCTTTTATGGACAAACAATTGTGCACATTTTGTTTTGGAGAGTACTTATAATTATCATAGCCTGTGAGTGTGAAAATGTATGGGCATGGGTGCCAATGCCAATACTGGGCTAAAAATGACATGAATGTGTGCAAGTTATTCTATATGCCAGAGACAGAGAAGTTAAGCGCTGCATTATTTAGAGGTTAAGGGCACCATCTTTCCCTTCTGCCTGGTACTCCCCAGTGGCTGTTCTCTAATAGAGTAGCCTGTGCAAGCGGCTGGACAGGTAGGGAGAAGAGACGCAGAGATTCACTCAGACTCTGGTACATGCCTTCAGATCTGATCCCTCTGTCAGATAAAACTAATGGACCCCCCCCCCCCCCAACAGAGACCTCACACACTAGAGGAGAGCGGTGCCATGCAGATCCTGCCCATTCTTTGTCTGTGTGTGTCACTTCCCACTTCCCACGTTTGCAGCCACTATACAGTCATGCCATTGCTTTATCAAAAAGTTAATTAGCAGGAAAGGGTAGGTGAAACCAAAAAGAGGCATCTAAAAAGCTTTTAAGTTGGATTGAAAAACAGCTAAAGCAAAATGGTAGCGCTGGTAAGGCCTTGAGGAACGATGTGTTTGTGTGGTGTGGGGGCAGGTGTTAAACGCTATTTCCATCACTCATGAGACTTTCAGGCAGCTCTATATTAAACTCTAGCTGGGGAACCTGACACTCAACTATAGACGCCCTCAGTAGAACATGGCTGCACTCTAAGCATTAACCTTACACTGAAGGAAAACTGGGAGGTGGGTCAAACGTACATATTTAGGTTTTAGTGCAGTTCTCATCTTTGTTTTAAGTCAGAATAATTTTACACTTACAAAAAAAAAAAAAAAAAAGGTTAAAATAAGACTAAAAATCATGGATTTAGCCATTGAACCGGGGATTTCCTATAGCAGTGAAAGCCTGACAATTGCGTGATTGATGGGCTCACGGACACTGACAAGCATACACAAGCAACATCTGGCCTGCAGCTGTGTGGACAACACCTAAGGGACCCGACGGAACCGTACAAACAAGCCAGAAGACTCGGCCCAGAGCGACTCCTTCCTAAACAATATGACCTCAGCACTCTGTGGTCCACACAGATACTCCCAGACCTCCCAAAAGATGAATTCATCCTCATGGTATCTAGCCCAGAGGGCAGATTACATCAGTCCTAACTAACACCAGCAGCTTCAGGGCAAATCCAGGCTTTGTGTATGAACAGAGGGGCTTGGCAGTGACACATCACACAGGGAGGAGATCGGGACAGTATAACACAGGGAGTAATGGGAATATAAAAATAAAAAACACGCAAGTTAATTACAAATGATTGGGTGTCCAAAAAATCCTCAGTTACATAAAACTTGAACATGATGGCCTGGTGGTGAAAGAGAGAGTAATTTAATCACAGTCACGAGCTTAATCCCTGTAAAGCAAATGTATCCATAGTCTGATCACTCGTAGCACATGTTTCTACAAAAGTAGTTGAAGAAAAAAAAAAATGAAACGCTCCTACATACTATAAATCTTGCTGTGTCTGTCTCTTCAAGCTAACATTAATAAACACAGAAGAGCTATTTAACAGATCACTGGTGGGCTAAGCATTTGTGTAGGAGCCATCAATGGTGAGTGAAGAGGAGCCAATGTTCTGTAGGTTAGAAAGTCAGCTCTCTGCACATACCTTGCAACAAAAGCAAGTATACTGTACGCTATTTGCACAGTCCAACGCATCCAAGAACATTCATCCTTCAGATAACACAAGAAAATAAAAAAGAAGAAGTGAGCACATGTGACAATGCTGCAAAACCACCACCCCCTCCTTCTAATTCTATTTCCTCTCGCTGAAATGCCACATTAACATAAGGGGGCCGTGCTGGGCCATCAGTGGAGACGTGCGGCATTTGACAACCTCTAATTTCAGTAAGGCAAGTCTTTTCTGAAGCACTACGCTCACCTAAAAATTACCCCCTGCCTTGCACGACCGGCAAAATCATTTGTCTTGCTGTCCACCCCGGCAGAATAGGCTGATTTTATAAGAACATAACGAAGGGAGAACGAGGAGTACTATCTTGGAAAGAATAGACAATAAGAGGAAAATGAAAAAAAGAGTAAGAGAAATAAAAATGTGAACTTTGGCAATAGATGGGAACTATCTGAATTATCTACATGTTTAACAGCTGTATGTGGGGGAAGTAACAGATCTCCTCTTAGCCCCCTTCAGACATCTCTGAGCTCAGTGTCAGAATGTCATCTACAACCTGACTCAGCAAACCACACACATAAACAGCATTTTCTGTCAGAGCTATTTACCTGTGTGTGTGTGTGTGTGTGTGTGTGTGTGTGTGTGTGTGTGTGTGTGTGTGTGTGTGTGTGTGTGTGTGTGTGTGTGTGTGTGTGTGTGTTTTGAGGGGGATCATAATATCTCTATTTAGTGTTTTAACCAGACATGTGTTAGGAAGAAACAAAGATCAACCTTGAGAGTAGATGGAGGGCAGAGTGGAAGATGGTTTGATGAGACAAAAGACAGGAAAGAGGGAGAATTACAACCACAGTGCTGAGCAAGCAGAGCGCAGTTGTATTCCTCTCGACTCGCACTGCTCTTTTCTGCTTCAATGTAAGTTAAAACATCTCATTTTATCCATCTCTATATTGTTTCAGTTGTTGCCCTTTCTTCTCAAATCTGCAGTGAAAATGGAAAATGTCACAGAATCCATCTGCCCTTTGTAAGCTCAAGTAAAGAGACTGTTTCTCTTCATCTTCTTGGTGATCTCGGCAATGGGGAGAGATGAGTACGTAAAGGGAAGGATGTGGGAGAGGAGAATGGCAGGTGGAGGGGACCTGAAAGGCAGTGGACTGAGGAATGAGAGAGAGGAAGTGGCTGTAATTTGAGAGCCAAAAATCAAAGAGTGGTGTGGTTTGTGGATGTTAAGTGTGAAAGTTCATTCCTGAACTTGAAAAATGTGGTTTGAAACAAAAAACTCCACTTATTATTGTTTTCTGGAGGTAGGAGTTTGTCATATCATATTATTTATGATTAATATCAGTATAAATTTTAATATGGATGAAAAAAAATCATTGTGATAATATCAATATCCTGACTTCTTGTTATTACACACTGCAACAACACGCATGGCTGAACGTGAAGGTAACACTTCTACCAGCTCCACGGTGGAGGAGTTAGGTCCAAAAAAGGGTACTGACTTCAGTATTGTGGAAGTGGTTTGGTTGCAAAATATTAGATTTTTAACAAACCATGGTAATATGTAAGAAGTGCAAGAAGAAGGGGGCAATACAACAAACTTCTTTCACCACCTCAAGATGAAGCACCCGGTTGTGTATTAGGAGTCCCTAGCTCAACAGCTATTATGAGTTCTAAACCAAAAATATTCTTTAGTATTTTGTCACATCATCAAGAACACAATTACTGCAGAAATACCCTGAAAGATAATATTTTAGGGCCATATCGCCCACCCCTTGCAGATCTTTTTCAACTCAGCTGTGACCTAAGTATTACACTTTAGTAACGTGATTTACTATAGGCCCCACACGACCACCTGTTAGTATGTGACAAATGTTTTATATTGATAACAGCTGGGCTATCTGCATGACAGCTGACCGGATGCCATCGGCTGAGATGCTGTTGAAAGCTTTTGGAGTCAAATTTGAGTCTCTTCTTTTATTGGAAAGCACATCCTGATTATATCTGAGCTGCCTGTTTATTTTACTGTTTTATTCTCGTTTTATTTCTTCTTTTATCATGCGTCTTTTAATGTTTTATTTTATTCTCATGTACTTTATAATTCACTGTGGTATATTATGTCATCTTTCTCTGTGTCTCTTGTGAAGCACACTGCTATAAGTGCTCTCTTAATAAAGTTATACTTTATACTTAATAAATTATATTGTTATATTGGTGCCTTGATAATGGGGTAAATATGACCAAGTGATAGTCCTAAGATATAAATCCATCATTAATGACTCTAGATTTCAAGCGAGTGTTTTCATTTGATAAAGATGGTGATAGTGTAAACATAGCTAAATTCTTGCACTACAAAAATGTACTTACTGATAAACAATATGAAGTGTGTATGGTTTAATGAAGCTTAAAATCAGCATGCCTAGAAATTAAACTGCACAATTAGCTGTTTGCTTAGCTCCTACAACTGGCACAATTGGTTATTTAGCAGGCAGACTATCCATACCAAAAGTCACCAGTGAAAAGAGCTCTGGGTGGCATATGGTCAGATTTTTACCCTCATAGAGACCCCTTGATAAGGCAAAGTATAACTAGGCCTAGGCTGGAGAGTCATACGCACGAGGGAGGGGAAAAAAATAAAAATAAAAAACGGACCGTGAAAAACAAATCCATTAGGCTAAAGCGTATCTACTCATCTGAATGAGTGATATTTGACATAGTCAGCCACCGTGAACTCAGCACCATGGGATAGGGAAGCTTCTCATTTATTTACCCAGCCTGATGCCAAAAACAGGACCACATAGAAGCAGCACTGGCAGAATAAATGGAGTTGAGATGGGGGTGGAAAGGCTTAAGACAACAGAATAGCCACTTGGGATGAGAAAATGTTCTAATGTTGCATCTAACATGATCTAATGAATATACGCAACGAATGGGTACAAACTTGGGGAATGGAGAGGAGATAGATGGAGCAGTGAGATGAGGCGAGGAAGAAAGAGAGGGCTGAGTAAAATTAAAAACAGTGGAGTAGCCCAGAAGGAGATACTGTAATCAGGTTTAAGACTGGTGAAGATCATTCAG